ATGCCGTTTAAAACGACATGTGGGGAATAATTGGCGTTTAAAACGGCATGTGGACAACAAGTGGCGTTTAAAACGGCATGTGGACAACAAGTGGCGTTTAAAACGGCATGTGGACAACAAGTGGCGTTTAAAACGGCATGTGGGGAACAAGTGGCGTTTAAAACGGCATGTGGGGAACAAATGCCGTTTAACACGGCATGTGGGCAATAAATGGCGTTTAAAACGGCATGTGGACAATAAATGCCGTTTAAAACGGAATGTGGACAATAAATGCCGTTTAATACGGCATGTGGGCAATAAATGGCGTGTAAAACAAATACAGTTGAAAGCAGCCTGTACAAAATACAACAAGCAGCAGTATTACCAATGACATTTTCTGATGTTGGGTCCTTGGGCATAACACTTCATGGAAAATGTAGTTTGAGTTATAATAAATTAAATCGAAAATTTGTTGAAAGACAATTTCATGTATTATATGTGGTTTAGATTCTGAAGAAGTGTATATTCCTGTGGCGCACTTGGTTTATAATTGTCTCATGTAGAAGATTCCTGGATCAAATCCAGGTTTGGTCTTTTTTTTTTTTTTCGTCAGATTAAATACAAATTGAATATGTATGAATATATATTTCATACATATGGCTATGTGTTGTTGCAATAATAATCTTGCATTAGGATTAATATTGCATCATCGTTAGGGTAAAACTAAATGATGTGTAAAACACTCAAGACACAATTTTACTTAAAACCACCTGGTGAGTGGTATAGCTGGTGTGTGTCCGCCAATCATGCAAGAGTTCGCAAATTCAAATAAGCCAAGATCAAAAACTTTTTTATGACGGTTATTTCTTTATACATTTATATATCTATAAATATCTATATATATCTTTATATATATATATATACAGTTTTTATATAACTGCCATAAAAAAAAAAACGGTACTTTGATTCGATCAGCCAATCTTACGCACTATAGACGAATGTTTAATGACTGCGCCACTTATTTTGTGTTTTGGCAAAGAAAAAAACGAAAGATTCTATTGTTGTTTTAGGACATTTCATCAAGAATGGAGCCAACCAAAGATGGTGAAGAGTGATGGATTGAAAAATCCAAGCAGAAAGTTGTGTAATTGGAACATGAGGTTTCATCTCTATATTGTTAAAATCTTCATTTCTGTTCTTGGACCGTTTAAGCTGTGTCTTATACTTTGCATTCTTTTATAAAAAAATATATGTATTAATGCTCTTTCTTATTGTTCCATGTTTCTGATGTGGTTTTATTAAAGAAGAGAGAGAAATAAAATGATTTTTTCTTTTGTTTTATATATATATATATATATATATATATATATATATATATATATATATATATATGTCATACATATTCAATTTGTATTTAATCTGACAAAAAAAAAAAACAACCTGTCCTGGGTTTGAACCAGGTTTCTTCCGCATGGGAGGCGGTTATAAACCAAGTGCGCCACTGGATGACACAGCTACTGTGGAATTTAAACTATATATAATACATGAAACTAAGTCTTTCAACAAATTTATGCAATAACATATATTATTATTACTCAAACAACATTTTTCAAACAATTTATGGCACTTCTGACATTCTTCATGAAGTGTTAGGCCCAAGGACCCAACATCAGAAAATGTCATTGGTAGTCACTGGGGATTTGAACAAGCAACCATCAACACCGTAGTCCTGTGCTTTTCCATCTGAGCCACTGGACCACTAGCTCCACTAATGCTGCTTGTTGTCTTTTGTACAGGCTGCTTTCAACTGTATTTGTTGCCCACATGCCGTTTTAAACGCCATTTATTCGCCACATGCCGCTTTACACGCCATTTATTCCCCACATGCCGTTTTAAACGCCATTTGTTGTCCACGTGCCGCTTTACACGCCATTTATTCCCCACATGCCGTTTTAACAGTGTTGTGCCAGTTCACAGCTTTTCTGAACTAGTTCAAGTTCAGTTCATACATGCTCAAAGTGAACAGTTCACGTTCAAAGTTCACAATTTTAATTCTGAACTAGTTCAAAGTTCAGTTAATTTTACGTTTTTCATGAGCTACTTCAATAAATATTTTTTTCACACTACATATATATATATATGTGTATATATCTATCTATATGTGTATATATCTCCTGTACACCCACAGGAGGAGAGCCTTTTGACTACAAAACAGACTAGATTTACATGGTTTTCAATGGGAGCAAAACGGAGTTGCCCCATCTCTGCTCATAAACTACAGACAGTAATGCGCTGCAGTGCGTGTACTATACTTTATGTCAAATGTAAACGGTGTAAACTTTGTCGCTAACTCACCCTGTGTTTTCATCACGACTCGGGCACATGTGAAAAGCACCAGCTCACAGCGCCGCACCGCAACACGGAGTCGGGGTGCGTTCACAGACGGTGGAAACCGTAAGAATTTTTAGATTTCAGCTGAAAAAGTGCGAGACTACAGGAGGGAGGAACTTTCTCTCGTTGCATTTCAAAAGAGAAAACAGATTCCAACGTTCATAGTGATGTCTGCCGTTCATGACACATAAAATGAACTAATTCACGTTCAAGTTCTTTTTTTAAAAATGTGTTGCGTTCAGTTCAACGTTCAGGAAAAACTGAGCGTGTTCAATGAACGCGTTCTTTTGAACTCGTTCACGCACAACACTGCGTTTTAAATGCCACTTATTGTCCACATGCCGTTTTAAACGCCACTTGTTGTCCACGTGCCGTTTTAAACGCCACTTGTTGTCCACATGCCGTTTTAAACGCCACTTGTTGTCCACATGCCGTTTTAAGCGGCATTTATTGCCCACATGCCGCTTTACACGCCATTTATTCCCCACATGCCGTTTTAAACGCCACTTGTTGTCCACATGCCGCTTTACACGCCATTTATTCCCCACATGCCGTTTTAATCGCCACTTGTTGTCCACATGCCGTTTTAAACGCCATTTATTCCCCATATGCCGTTTTAAACGCCACTTGTTGTCCACATGCCGCTTTACACGCCATTTATTCCCCACATGCCGTTTTAAACGCCACTTGTGGTCCACATGCCGTTTTAAACGCCACTTGTTGTCCACATGCCGTTTTAAACGCCATTTGTTGTGTACATGCCACTAATCAGCTGTGGCAGGTGCCGGTGCCACAAAAGGAGCCTGCCCTTACTGGGAAAGCTAGCAGATATTCTTGAATGTGACTCAAAACTCAAAAAAGCCGGCTGCTTTTTGAGAAGAGGTGGGACGTCTGTGTTTCTTCTGCTGCCCTACAGACCCTCCGGCAAGCCAAGTGGAACACTCCGGACCTGCTCCCTCTGACTGAGGACGTTAGAGCCATGCATGCACATATTGAGGTATGTCGACTTGAATATGTGCAAACCCTAATAAGTGAGCCAACCTCTAAGCATTGGTCTAAACTGGCAGTTTTGACTCTTTGTGAGGTCATTATTTTCAATCGAAGAAGGGAAGGTGAGGTTTCAAAGATGCCACTGACAGCGTTTACCTTAAGAAGTAAGACTGGGATCCATTCTGACATTGCTCTGGGACTGTCCGAACTTGAGAAAAAGCTGTGTCAGCATTTTCAACGCATTGAAATTAAAGGGAAACGAAGTCGGAAAGTGCCGGTTCTTTTGACTCCTGAAATGATTGCTTCGATGGAGGTGCTGGTGTAGAACAGAAGGGCCTGTTCCATCTCTGACCATAACCCATACTTCTTATCCCGCCCGGGCGCAGACACCCACATCAGGGGATCAGACTCCCTACGGCAGGTAGCCAAGGAATGTGGTGCGGTGCATCCAGAGATGCTATCCTCAACCAAACTTAGAAAGCACATAGCTACTATGTCTACAGTTCTCAATATGAAAGAGAATGAAATGGACATACCAGCCAACTTCCTCGGCCATGACATTCGCATCCACAGACAATATTACAGACTACCAGAGGGGACACTGGAGCTGGCCAAAATCAGCCAAAGTGTTAATGGCCATGGAGCAGGGAAGAGTGACGGAATTCAAAGGAAAGAGCCTCGACCAGATACAAATTGAGCCTGAAGGTAATTCTTGATATTATTAAAATATGTATAATTTTTTTCCCCTAAAGGCCACTTGTATTTTTATTTTCTGTGCTACAAGGAGAGCAGTAGAGATCCTCTCACAAACGGACGGGCTAAAAGAAACTTCAAGGGGAGAACCTTCAACCATTCATCCAGATGCACCCCATGGTAGTGGCAGTGCCCCTTCTGGTAAGTGTACCAGGTGGGGGATTACAGCCAGGCTGCTTGGTTCTAACCCTGGGAGTGTATATTGCTAATATATTTTTATTTCTCTCCCTAGAACGTGTAAGAAAGCCATGGTCTGCATCTGAGGTGAAGGCTGTGGAGAAGACCATGACGCCTTTCATACAGACTGGAAAAGTCCCTGGGAAGTCTCACTGCCTGCATTAATGCCTCACCAGATGACCTTAGACATCGGACATGGAGTGGCATTAAATTCTATGTCAAAAATAGAATCACTGCAATAAAAAAAAAAAATCTAAAATAAAATTCCTTTAAAAGAGTTGTTTGTTTTCTATTGACTGTTTTGTATTACTTAAAGTAGTCCCAGTAAAAAAGATTATGTCTATGGGTCCCATTCTGAACGGCCCTGTCAAAGGGACCCACCAGGTAACAAAAACGTGTATGTGTGGGTGTGCAGAAATAAATGACTTCCCGGGAGGGCCCGGGTTAAAATTACGCTTGTATAGGGATGGGAGAACCACACCGTCTAACCGGCGACCCAGGGGGTACATACCACGGGTCTCCCCGCGAGAGAGCAAGTGAAAACCGGTCTTATAAAGAGCCCAGGCTGGCCTGAGACCCAGGGCGCATTTCCCACGAGAAATAGCATCAAAACCCGGGCTTAAATAGAGCCAAGGGCAGCTCCTGAAGTGGCGGGGTCCTCGGAGGTTTAATCCCCAAAAAACGCATCAAAAACGGGCTTAAATGCACCGCTACTCCAATACTCCAACTAAGATGGCGCCGCCCAGGGCTGCTATGGTGACGACTTGTGTTGCGTTCTGTTTGTTTGTGTCACACGTTTCGTGCGAGCCCTCCTACACAAGAGAAGAGCTGCTGCACATTGGGTGTTCTATCCCACTGGACATTGTACCAACACTACTCACCCGATCCACGGATGTACTGGATATTCTGCTGAGGGGGACAGCGCTCTTCGCCAGTGCTGTACGCTGGACCAGGAGACAACGAGGGAAGCGAGGAGGTTGTCTGGTTCGCCTACGGCGGAGAAGCTCGCGTCCACCGCTGCCAGGAATATTCCTCTGCAACGTGAACTCGTTACCCAATAAAATGGATGAACTCCGGCTGCTTGTCTCACGGGAGAATGACTTCAAATCCACGGCTGTCTTCGCGTTTGTGGAGACGAAACTGACGCTGTCAGTCCCGGACGGGGCTGTACTGCTGGAAGGTTTTTCCGCGTTTCGCTCGGACAGAGACTTCGAGGCGGCGGGGAAGTCGTGTGGAGGAGGTCTAATCTTCTTTGTGAATGACTGCTGGTGCTCTGATGTGACAGTGTTGCAAAGACACTGCTCTCCTGCAATTGAAATGCTTCTCATCCTCTGTCGTCCATTCTATTCCCCCCGTGAGTTTAATGCGTTCCTCCTTGTGTGTGTTTACATTCCTCCGGACGCTGACGTCACCGCAGCAGTGGACACACTCGCAGAACAGCTGTCGGGGGCGGAGCGCAAACACACCCGGACAGTTTTGTTGTGGTGCTTGGGGACTTTAACCAGGCTCATCTGAGTCGGGCTCTCCCCAAATACAGACAGCAAGTGACATGTGCTACTAGAGGGGGAAATATTCTAGATCACTGCTACTGTACCATCCGTGAGGCATACCATTCTGTCCAACGTGCTGCTCTGGGCAAGGGTGATCACCATCTCATCCATCTGATCCCTCGCTATAGGCAGAGATTGAAAATATCAAAACCTATAGTGCGTAGTTTCAGAGTGTGGTCCAGCGAGGCAAGTGAGAGACTATGTGCCTGGCTGGAGAATGCTGGCTGTGACCGGGACTTTGTTGAGTGGGCGGGGCCTGAGGCTGGAAACAACCTGGATGAATACACAGATACTGTGACATCATTTATCAGCCTCGGCGAGAAGGTCTGTGTCCCCCTCCGCCACAGGAAGATCTACAACAACAACAAGCCCTGGTTCTCAGCCCATCTCAGAAGGCTGCGGTCAGAGAAGGAGGTGGCCAGGCGGAGCGGCGACGTGGCCCTGTTTAGGCAAGCCAAATATGAGTTTGCCAAAGCGGTGAGGGAGGCGAAACACCGCTTCTCGGAGAAACTGCGGCGGCAGGTCTCTGAGGGGAACTCCTCCTCTGTCTGGAAAGGACTTAAAACCATCACCAACTACGGGCCCAGGTCCCCACAGGCCTCTGACAACCTTCCCCTCGCCAACGAGCTCAATGAGTTCTACTGCCGCTTTGAGAGTAGAGCGGCCCCCCACCTCCACCTCCACCCATCCCGGCCACAACCACTTTTCTCTTTCTCCCCCCCTCCCCTACCCCCTCTCACTGTCACAGAGAGAGAGGTCAAACTGTTGTTCAGGAGCCAGAACCCCCGGAAGGCGTCCGGCCCGGATTCTGTCTCCCCCTCCGCTCTGAAGCACTGCGCTGATCAACTCGCCCCGGTGTTTACCAACATCTTTAACACCTCGCTGGAGCTTGGTCAGGTCCCCGCATGCTTCAAGGCCTCTACCATCATTCCCGTCCCCAAGAAGGCTAAGGTCACAGGCCTAAATGACTACAGACCTGTCGCCCTGACGTCTGTGGTCATGAAGGTCCTGGAGCGCCTTGTCCTGGCCCATCTGAAGCGAATCACTGATCCTGTGCTGGACCCGCTGCAGTTTGCGTACAGAGCCAATCGCTCCACGGAGGACGCCGTGAACATGGCTCTGTACTACACCCTTAAACATCTGGACACTGCCGGCTGCTATGCCAGGATCCTGTTCGTTGACTTCAGTTCGGCTTTTAATACCATCCTTCCACCCATCCTAGAGCAACAGCTGTCCCTGCTGCAAGTTCCTGCCCCCATGCGCAGATGGATTACGGACTTCTTGACAAACAGGTCCCAGCGGGTGAAGCTGGGGAAGAGCATTTCCAGCTCTAGGATCACCAACACCGGTACCCCGCAGGGCTGTGTCCTGTCCCCACTACTGTTTTCCCTGTACACCACCAGCTGTGTCTCTCTCCACCCGTCGGTCAAGCTCCTCAAGTTTGCCGACGACACCACCTTGGTGGGCCTCATCTCCAAGGGGGATGAGTCGGCCTACAGGAGGGAGATCGAGCGGCTGCGTAACTGGTGCAGCAACAACAACTTGGAGCTGAATGCTCTGAAGACAGTGGAGATGGTGGTGGACTTTAGGAGGGACCCAACCCCGCCTCCTCCTGTCATGCTGGGCGGCACTCAGGTGGAATCTGTACAGTCCTGCAAGCTCCTGGGGATAATTATCTCCAGAGACCTCAAGTGGGAATCCAATATCACAGCCCTCCTGAGAAAAGCCCAGCAGAGGATGTACTTCCTTCGTCAGCTGCGGAAATACAGACTGTCGAGGGCCATGATGACCCAGTTTTACTCGGCCATCATAGAGTCTATCCTCACTCACTCCATCATCACCTGGTTCCCCGCTGCAGCTGCGAAAGACCTGGTCAAGCTGCAGCGGGTGATACGCTCTGCGGAGAGGGTGATTGGCCATCCCCTGCCCTCCCTTAAGTCCCTGCACGACTCCAGGGCACTGAGGAGGGCGAGAAAGATCATGGCTGACCCCTCCCACCCTGGTCACAGCCTCCTCACCCTGCTCCCCTCTGGGAGGAGGATGCAGCACCTGGGGGCCAAGACAGAGCGCTACAAAAACAGTTTTTTCCCCTCAGCGGCCAGGCTGCTCACTGACGCTGGTTTCCCTTCTTCCCTTGCCCCCTAGGAACAAGGACTGAACATTATGGCACTTTATTACATTATTCTATTTATATCTCTTGCACTTTTTTGTTAAATTATATGTGAAAAAAGATGAATGCACACTGTCATGTTGCCAAGTCAAATTCCTATGTGTTTTGCACAATGGTAAATAAAGTAATCTGAATCTGAATCTGAATCACTGGCGAGCACACGCTACGCTGTCTAAATACTAGGTCAAGCAGGCAGAGCTGGCCTAACATGTACACACCGCTCGTCACCATACCAATTGAGTTGGTCCTCGGATCGGCCCCGCTGGAGTCGGTCACGGCCCTGGCGGAGCGCTGGGAAGGGGATCAACTATAATGCCTAGAGGCCCCGGGCTAGTGGCTCTTGGCGGACCTGTCTGTGGCAAGACTGAGATGCCCTGTCTACCCCAGATTTCACAGAGACGTCGGGCCCCCACTCAGGCGTAGAGGTCAGAAGACACGCTTTCTCGTACCCCTCACTAGGGCCCAGACAGGCTCCAAACGAAAGCCGGGTGCGTTCGCCCGAGAGGGTAGGCATTACCAGTTCTGGCTCTCGGTGGGTCTGCGGCGCGTGCCGCGGCCACGTGAGGCCGCCCAGGGAAAAAAGCTGAGGGCCCCTCTGGGGTGCCCCATAGCTGGCGTGGAGCCCCGGGGGAGTCGGGAGTTTGTGGTGGGGCTGAGGACTGGAGACACCGAGCGGGAGGCAGAGAGACAGAGTGCCTAGGCCTGTCCTCTGCTCTTCTCTTGGTACGTGGGGGGTGGCCCAGGCGTGCCTGGTCCCGCGCCCTGTGCACTTGTCATCCATCGGGAAACACGGTCCCCCTCACAGGGCCCGTGTCCCTCCCGCAGCTGGGGTTTCGCAGCGCGGAAGGGGGCTGTTCTTCTCGCAGGTTTAGCCCCCGTCGGTCCGCGGTTCGTGCCCTCAAGTACAGACGGACCCGTGTCTAACCTCCGGGTCAAAAACCCTGCCCGTCTCTCCCCCCCCACAATGCCAGGTGTACACCTGCCGCGTGGTCCGGGCGCGGCTGCCGGTGAACCCCCGTGGTTCGATAACGAGTGCGAGGAACCATCAAGAGATTTTTATCTGCAGACCTCAGAGAACGAGAGGGGACATAGGGCTGAATCAGATCTCTGATGTAAGAAGGCGTCTGACCATATAAGGATCTAAAAGTCAGCACCAAGATTTTAAATTGAAACCGGTAAGACACCGGCAGCCAGTGGAGGGCTTTAAGAATTGGGGTAATATGAGCCATTCTATTAGTGCAAGTTAAAATCCTCGCTGCAGAGTTTTGAACCATTTGGAGACGAGACAGCTCTTTTTTGTTTAGACACGAAAATAAACTGTTGCAATAGTCCAAACGTGACGACACAAAAGCATGAATAATGAGCTCCAAATCATTACGTGACACAATTTTCCTCAGTTTAGAGATGTTCCTCAACTGAAAGAAACAATTTCTGCTAAGCTGTTTAGAGCTTAGGCACGTACTAGGCACGTTTTGTTCTGTTTGTAGTCCCAGGCACACCTGGTTTTTCCAGCAGCGCTTAAGGGTGTGCAGTCCGAGGGGGGGGCTTAATAGTGGGTACCCGGGTCCGACTGGTGCACAGGTCTGCCCCGGCGGTCCCTGGCGGTGCACCTGCGGGGGTGTGGGGTGCCGTGGTCGGGCAGCAGCCTGCACATAGCCCCTCTGGAGAACCAGGCCCTCCCCACAGCTGAACATAGCCCCCCTGGAGAACCAGGCCTTCCTCACACAAAACCTTGACCCTTTAGGCGCCAGAGTTTTTTCAAGAAAATATACAATTTTGATTTCAAGATTTCAAAAGGCTATAACTTTAAAATGGTTTGAGATAAAGGCATACTGTAAATTAGAAATATCTTCAGTTTGAACCAAACTTTGGGATGGAAGTTGATTCGTCATCTAATTTGCATATTGTGATGTCATCAAGGTGGCGGCCATTTTGGAAAATGTTAATTATTGTATAAAGACTTCAAAAAGCTGTAGCTTGGGAGTTATTTGAGATCAGGGAATACTATAAACAGTCAATGTGAAATATCTTTAGTATGAAATGAATTTGGGATAGAAATAAATTCCCTGATCCAGATTATAGATAATGTTTTAGCACTGGTTCGCGGCCATATGGAATTGTATTATTTTCAAAGACCTTCAGTGATCAAGACAGCACTCTTTATAGTTTACAGTCATGAAATCTTGAGATTGGTTTCAATATTTCCCTTTCAGAGAAGTAGTGGGCTTACTATTTTTCTCAGTGGAAATGAGGCTCCAGGATTTACCGTTTAGAAACAGAGAGATGAAATGAATGGGCTCAGAACTTGTCAGATCGTCTCAACAACATACAACAGGCTCTTCAACACTTCTGATCCACTTTTGTGGATTATTTTCTCTCAAGAACTGCCTTCATCCTCATCATCACTGTTGGTAAAGGCAGTGAACGCGATTAGCGATGTGTTTTTTTCCCGCGGCTCCCCCGCAACTTCTCGCGCGCCTCCCGTGTTCCCCGTGGATGTCTACCCCCACTACTTTCTCCCACATGCCCGGTGTTATGATCCCCCTGTCCCCTCCACCACGGCCCCTGCTTGGCGTTCACAGAATGCTTCTACCGCGGCCACACGGAGGACAAGCAGCCGCTGTACTGGGGCTGATTGTGGACTATGGAGCGCGGTCTCCCCGTCACCAATAATGTCCGTTGTCTGCTTCACTGGACACCTGCGTGTCTTCCTCCTCTGAATCTGAGTGAGCCAGTACCAGACCAAGTACTTCTCTGGTACTGAAGACCTCGTGAGTAAAAGAAAAAACACTCTTTCCCTCTGCTCTGCTCTCGCTCCTCTCAGCTCTA